AGGATTTAGGATCTAATTAAGATTAGTTTAAAATTTAGGATTTTTTTAGGATTTCTTTAGGATTTATTAAGAATTTATTTTGGATTCTTTTAAAGATTTTTTTATTTTTTTAAAATTTCTTTATATTTCTTTAATATTTTTATTATTCTTTTATAATTTTTTGTATTTTTTTATTATTTATTTATTAATTTAATTATACTTGATCAATATTTGATTATATTTATTAAGCTTTAATTAAAATTTATATATTATTCTATTAGAGTTATTAAGTCTTTTTATTGCAAATTTCTTTTATTTTCTATAATCAAGTATTTGGCACATTTTCAAGTAAGACTTCATATAATATAAAATTGTCATTACTTGACTAATTCTTTTTTAGACAAATCTTTATTCTTGATGCCTTTTAAATAGTCAATTGTCATATACAATAGCTTGAGTAATAAATTACTTCAAAGAATCTACTTTTGGCATTGTCAATAATAAATCTTCGATATTATCTTTTAATCCATATCAAAATTGATTGATAAGGGTTTTATTGTTCTAATCCATGTCATAAGCAAGGTTTTAGAATTTAATAACATATGTGGTGATTGATTGTGATTCTTGTCATAAAATAAGAGTTTGATCTTTGCTATTCTTTTTTGATCATTTTTTCTAAATGTCACTATAAACACTTCTAGGAATGAATTCAAATCATAAAAGAATTGTAAATCCTTTTCTATTAAGATATAAATTAAAAGAGAGCACTTCCAAACAGAAGTGGCTCTATGAATCCAACTTGAGTAAATCTATTAGCATATTAGAAAAGATGCAACTTTAGATAGAACTTGACTTCTTGCAAAAATCTTCAAAATTTCAAACTTGTTCCATCAAACTTCTTAGACATACTAATCCTTATCTTTCTTATCCTTGAAGAAGCAAGACTTCTTGGATTTGGTTGTGAGGTTGATCTACTTGCTTCCTTCAACTATACAACTTATTGATATAGACTCTAGACTTTTTTCATAGGCATTGGAATATTGCTTTCATGGTTGGTATTGGTGATGCATGAAATTTCTATTTTAAAAGTATTGATAAGCTTGTAAAGATTTGTAATAGTTGCAAATTTATTCTTATTTCTACGAAATATAGCATCTATAATTTTTTCTTCTATTTCAATTAATTTAATAAATTTACAAATCAATTTAGATGAAAGTAATCTACAATTCCTAATATCAAATGAAAATTTCTACAAAGAAAGATAATCCACTCTCTTTGAAGAAAAAATTAGTGTTAAAAAAGTAAATGTTCATTCAAGGTAAATAGTTTGCAACCTTCAAAATACAAGAATAAAAGTAGAATAATCCACTCACTTCTAAAAACAATACAAGAATAATGAGTTAGCACTCTTATCAATCTATCAACAAAAAGAATCTAAAAGTAGATACATAAATAAATAAGATAAGTATCAAAGAGAGATGACAAACTAAAAATAAGAAAATAAATATATTTAATAAAAAATTGGAATGGCTATTGCTAAAGTCTAAAAAACTAGAGACTCTTGAAACTATGCTAAAATCAAAAAAAGAGTTGATAAATGTAAAGAAGACTTCACTCTTACTTCTATATATACTATCTAACTAGGAACTAAGTGACGATGTTCTATAGGACCTCTAATACTTGTTGACTTTGTAAATCACATATTTCAACTTGCAAGGTAAATTTTCTATATGTGCACTATATAGTTAGCTTGTTCCACAAGCTACCAACATGTGTGATATGTGGCTAACTTCTTGACTAAGTTTCTAACCTACAAATCAACTACAAACACATGTGAAATCAAAGCCTTATCTATGAAGCTTTTAAAAAGTTTTTCTAGAAGATATTATGAAATTAATCTACTTTTACCTACTTCTACCTAATCATACAAGTAATTATTGGAATAAGTATGTATATCTATGACAAACTTCCTTCTTGATTCATTCATATTGTTTTGATGTAGTAGCCTTATCTTTAAAAAAAAAACAATCTTGCTTTGGTTGTGCATTCTTGCTCCAATGTTGTTGAGCATGCTTAGAGTAATTGACCTTACTTCTTAGAGCTTGTAGTCCTCCCTAGCTATCAAGATATTTAGTAAATGTCACCAATATGTGACATCTGCTGTAGTGTAATACAAACTACCTTTTATTTTCCACAGTAGGATGTATTTTCCTGCATCTAAATTCCTACTGTGATACTTTGTTGCAATAGACACACATTCTTCTTTCTTAAATGTGGAATGAAAATACTATCTTTTTTCATTAAAGAATGCAGACTCCAAGTCTGGAATTTACAAGTTGCAAATCAACTTGCTTTGTTAAGTGGCAGCTACTGTTATTACAAATTTGAGTGACTTGGCCGTTGTTGCCTTGCTTCGAGAGAAGCTGCAACCAAGAGAATATTGATGGCTATTTAGATTAATTTTCAAATCTACTTGGTGGTGATTGGTCCTAGTTGTAAACTCACTTCTACAAATGATCCTGGGTGGCACGGGGGGGGATGGTGTAGTTCCTGCCGACAATCAAGTGTGAAGACACTTTCTTGGTGGTTGTCTCTGATGCACAGACTTCGCCTTCAAGTTGGCAACACAAGTGAACTATGATGGTGGTACAAGTTGTTACCACTTCATTCTTAAATTTGTCTGCACTTCACGCAGCTCCAAACAAGGTATCTCCAACGCTAGTTTCTAAAGGTCCACATTTGGATCGGATGTGCAGCCACTTATTAGAATCATAGAATAATTCTGTAATTAATAATTCAATAATAAATTGATACAATAATAATCATTTGATACACAGTAAACTGCGAGTGTTTGCACATGAGTGATCCAGCGAGGGAGGTGCGACTGGAACTTCGCGACCCCTCGCTGGATGAGTTCCTGTCGTCACCAGCTAACCGTTACTCCTACGATACTGGTTAACGAACTCTGTGTTCTAATACCACAGTCATCGCACACATTCTCTCGTGTTGGAATTGGTCGAACCCGTCCTTGTAACAGTAACATTCACCCATGGATGTAGCTCATCCTTCTAAATCTCTGCCAGTCATATGTTTTCTCTGAGCCCTCATTTGATGCTCTCTCTTAATCTGATGTGATATCCAAAACCTTTACCTCGGTCAAGCCAGACCCCGTCCACGTTGTAGCGACTCTGCATTCGGACATCTGTTGCCTATTCAGATGGTGACACTCTATCGCGGTTGTCTGCAATGCACTTGCTTGACCTACACGTTGTACCAGGAGCACCCTCTCCGGTTGTGCAGATGAATGAACCATGTGTCCGGACGGTATCGAGCCGCAGCGGGTTGTACTCGCGGCCTTCCTCGACAATATTTGAGCCTTGTTTGTGTTTGTCTGTGACTCTGGGATCGAGCGACCTGGAATAGGGTTTGAGCGTGAAGGCCCAGTTGAGTTGTATCCATCACACCATCTGCAGCTCTCTAGGAGTGTGCGAACTGCCCTGTTGTCGCACATCCCAGCATCCGACCATGGTGGTGTTCAAAGTGAACGACGTTCAGCCAGACCTGAAGGCAGTCAACAATTGGGTCTGTCCTGGGGTCATTGGGGACGAGCACGCGATTTCCTTGGCTGACTGCAGGACCGTCGAGGCATTCTCCCACCCAGGTGCGTATTTCGTTCGAGACCAGCACGCGAAGGCAAAGAATCCACTCATAGCGGCCGTGTACTTGGCCTTCAGCCTTCACTTGCCGCTGGTTCTCACACCGGATGTGATCTGGAACACCATCATGCTGGGCGTGTCACAGCACGTGGGCAACGACCCGGAGAAGCACCGTCACGCTTTCGTGAACCACAAGGGCAAGCTGACTCTTGTGGTGAGGGACGATACCTTGAGAAGAGGATCCCGGGACAACAACTGGGGCCGCGTTGTGAATGGATTCGCCGACCAGATCGCCGATGCGCTGAGCGGCAAGGCAGCGCTCACGGCGTTGCAAACACGCTTCACCACCACTGACGAAGTTGCGCGCGTCGCACACGCCGTAGTGTTTATGGATACCGTCAAGAGCTATTTCGATTACACTGTGATGACTATGTGTGGTATCCCGTCCATCGAGCTCGCTGGCACACGCGAGGACTGGCAGAAGCTGCGGTCGGCACTGACACTGTTGGACGACTTGGATCTTGCAGAGTGGCGATCACAGCTTGATTTCATTCTCACCCACTTCGAGCACGCTTTCGACGGTAAGGTGGAGCAATCGTTCTGGAACGACATTTTCTTAGAACATGGCGCCAACGGCTCCGGAGGCGTGACAATGGTGTCGGGGTGGATCGGCACCTTTTTTCTGTACACCACGGAGAAGTTGAACTCGGGTGCTCTAGGCGAGCCCAGCGAAACCGAGAACACGTCTGGCTTTTATCAGGATTCCCCAGTGAAAAGAGCCTCAGATAGCCGGTATCGTCAAGTCATCGATCCTAACGACTTTCCAATGGGGTTGAGCGAGACGCCGTTCAAGTGGAAGTACTTCAATGAACAGATTGAAATGTTGCTGCAAGGAGGGCTAGTCGGCGTTATCTACAACCATGAAACACATGCCGTGGCTCCTCACGTGGGCTGGCTGATCACAGAGGCCAAGTCTGAGACCAACCTTAGTACACCACCTTGGTAATGTAGATTTTAAGTGTTAACGGTACTAGTTGGAACACATATTCCATACGGGATAATGGAGATATAAAGTGTTACAGCTTTTGGTCGGAATACGTAGCAGAATACTGTAAACAAAACACAAGTAAGAAGGTTCAGGAATACGATAGTAAGAAGTTAACCAGCAATTAACATTGTTGTAAGGGCTTCGATTCCGTCACTTTCGAGCAGAAAAAATAATGTTGCACCCAAGTTCTAAGCTGGATACATCAGTATGTAACAGTATTTGAGCTATCATACACTTTCCAGATGTGTTGGGTACATTCCTCACCACGAACTCTTCACTGAAGGTAAAGGCATCATCACAAGGGATTTGACTACCAGTACGACAATTCTGACCAATGTATTAATTACCAGGCTCAAAGTTTCGACAATGTACTGTCTAAATATCTCTTCATTTAAGTACCTCCGAAGCAACTTTCGATATCAGCGCGACCTGTTCGTGGCGCACCTACCCTACAAGGCTTGAATTCTTGCAAGCAAAGACCCTGCAATTTGCAAATACTTTGGAGGACCAGGTGCCAAAGAGAATGAAAAAATCGGGTGTCGGAACAAATCATGATCCTCCAAACTCTTCTTAGCGTTTAACAAAATTGTCCATCAGTGATGCTGGGAGCGCCAAGTTAACATCCGTCGCGATTGCCTGTCAGACAGCAAACAGGACACTATGAGAGACTGAATTTGCAGACATGCAATTAGCGTAATGCTCAGACAGTCGTATGTCGATGATGCTGTGAGCAACCCCACTTTAGTAGAAATTTATGAACAGAGCTGCTCATCAACTGAAGCCAATCTGAGCGCACGTTGAATGCATCAATGAATCGGACAAGCTGGCAAAGTGACCTTGAGCAAGCTATGCCTGAGTAGAAGCATTGGCTTAGCCACGGAAAGGACTCGACATTTGTGTTAGAGGAATCAGTGAACAACCATCTGCAAATGCAAAAGACTACTCCTCAACATGTGCAAAAATGAGGAAAATTTGTCTTATAATAGCAAGGCAAGCAGACTCAGCAGGTAACTGTAAAGGATCATTGTCAAAACAGCGTATCCGAAGCATGTTGGTCATTGAGGATTCACCTTTTAGGCTTTGTTCTATACTACTGCGTGAGAATTCAGAAACTTTTGCAGCAGCGGCCCGGCAGTTCTCCACACACGAAAAATATTCCTCCACTACAGCAAAAAGAGGAAGCCAGTGAGACTGACATACAGGACTATCCAAGCATAAAAACCACTAACAACAACTATTTAAAGCGTGATTAAATCGAAGAAAGCCTTCAGACGTTCAGGAAGAGGATAACATTCATAAAATAGTCTACCTTCCATTGCACCACGCGTGACGGATGTTAATATGCCATACTCGACTGGCTCTCCATCCACATCAGCTGGCAACTCAGGAACAGCAGAAAGACGGCGACTTGGAAAAACGAAGCTGACATAGGCTTTGCATTTCTAACATGTTCAAAATAGTCAATGATTAAAAACCATATTTCGGAACCAAAAATATAATTGAATCTACATCTTACAACGGATGTCATCAATTTACAGAAGCTAATATTGCAGTCACTCTTGTATTGACATACTTGTTCTTCTGGCTTTGTAGGATCCAGGAATACTTGACCGTCATGAGTAACCCCGCAGCTAACAGCAGCTGTTAATAACGAATCAAAAATAAGAATGCCGGAGTTCCACGTTTAAACGACCAAAATACAACGTCGCAAACGAGCAGGTACAGGCAGGTGAACAGAAATAAGGCAGAATAAAATAAGGATACTGGGTATAAATTCAATATGCTATTCATAACACAGAAAAACATGATAGATCAATTTAACAATGGCATAGAGGTAGGGAGGCCGTACAGAGAAGCCCGTTGAGGGGTATGCCAGCATCAACAAGAGCCGCACATGCCGCGTTCATAGCACACGCCAGTAGCTGGACCATTCATAGTTAAGTGCTCTCACTTGGTTGACAAGAAAGAATCCAACAAAGTGAATCATCCTGCAGTAACAAAAACGGAAGAGCAGTACCTTACTTACTCCTGCATGACCCTTGCGCAATAACGTCCATATCCATACTACCCCCTTACTAATTTTTTAGGCCGATTTCGGGTGGCAGATACAATCTTCCCTGTATAAAAAGCATCTTTAAAATTCAAAATTATGGAATAAGGATACAGATCCATCATCATTGATAACCTGCAAAGCAAACCAGAGAGTAGGTAAGTAATGAACCCTGCTCAAAAACACAGCAGTAAACTGCGCAGGTTTAAAATTAAGCACTGCTTAAGTCTCAATTGCAAAATCATGCGCTCTTCTAGATCTCGTATCCAGGCAAAAAAAAGCTTTCCATTCATTGAAAGTCACTAGTACGCTCAACACCTTGGACAAACTGCTGTACCCTATTCACACATTTGACTTTACCTGGAGGATGACGGAAATAGCGGTGTTGGGGTGCAGAGCAGTCAGTATGATGTATTCAAGCGACCTTCTCACTACAACTTCAGCGTCTTTCTCATAGGACCCTGCCAGCAAAGAACAGAACTATTTGGGGTAAGCATCTACAAACATCTGAAGATGAAACAGACGCGAAAGATAACCCAAACCAATTAAGAAAATGCGTTGGATGATATTCACATGCAAACACCGGTGTACAGACCAAAATTGTAAAGATTGCACAAAACTTATGCTAGCCGGGGAACCTAACATCATCGATGAACTTCGAAAATCTTCATCAGCGACTAAATTAATAATGCGAATCTAACAAATAAAATATTTGCAATGGTGCTATTGGATGCTGATGTTCTTGCTGAGAAATTGAAGGACGAAACATTTAAGAAAATCCAGAGGATGGAATCGAAGCCAAAGAATACCAGACAAACCACTCTTGGCCCTCCACACAACTTCAATAATGGCGCGCTCAGCGTTCTCCTTCTTCATCGCAGCAGGTTTAGGACCGTACACAGCAGCCAAAACCGTAGTGTTTTCTGATATCAAACAAAATCCGTTGGCCTCGAGACATGTTCATAAGAAAATGAACAACTTCTAAAATTTCTTAACAAGCCTCAAACAATAAGAACAATCAAACAAGAGGCTGTAAAGAACAGGGATTAGTGATTGCCACGCAGAGAGTTGGTGTATTTATTAGCCACGCTGTAAAATATATTTATGAACATTAACATCTTCAAAACAATGCCATCAAAAGGGTTCTGTAGAAATTTCGAATTAGTACGCTAAAATGTTTACTGAACTCCTATAGCTCCAGACGAATAAAATGCAACTATACCTTCATTGAATACCAAAAATGAAACGAAATCAAGCAAACTAACTCCTCTAAAAGCTAAGAAACCCGCTGGTAGAACAATCAGCTTTTTGCGAGAACACTCCACACTTCCACAAGAAACAAATCGAATATCTCGCAACCTCCATTCCCATAGGTTTCCATCCTCAAAATCGCAACCAATTTCCTTCCTCGGTACAATGCCGAACCGACGGTGCACTTAAAAATAAATGCATTTCATGATCTCAGCAATCAAGCCCAACCTACACTAGCGAGAAATCCAACGACAAAGCTAGCTTTCAGAAAACAGCAATCAGGAATTACCTTGCGACCAGGTAGCAGATCCGTGAGCTCGGGTTAGCAAACCACGCGAAAGTGACAACGGCCGAAGCTGAGAAGCGGACCTTCCATCGGCCCGTTCCGCAACGTTGAGCGAGGGCGCAGCTCCCACCTCCACCTTCGCCATCACCATCGCAACCTCGTTATCGCAGTTAGAATTACACTCAGCCACACCCTTGGAGGCCAAACTACTGCTCCAAAACCCTAATTTCCCTAAACCCGCTAATATCGAATAGTCCGTGGAAATTTAGTATTTGACTCTACATTGCCAATTTAAAAAGCCATGAACCATGAGTTTTAACATTGCCTTGCCTTTTTGGAAGACGAGTCCCATTCAATTACGGATTAGAGTATACAAATATTTGGTTTTGGAATTGTTCAACCCATTTGGTGTGTATGTGTATTATATTGTATTATATAATCATTTGCAATTCAAGAATAATATTCAAAAAATTATAAGATACAATTTAGTTACTAAATTTGATTATTAGAGATATCAATTGAAATTGTATGTAACATGATTACATGTTAATTTAGTAAATTTATAAATAAACTATAATGAAATTATGCATGTTTGATTTTACTTCTTAACAAACCATATTTCTATTTTCATATGTCGATAAATTTAGTATGATATTTTTACCAAACCATATTCCTATTTTCATATATCGATAAATTTAGTATGATAGTTTTACCAAGAGCAAGTACTTCCTAAAATTTTACTTCATTTAACCACTCATCTTGTATCCATTAACCCTTAAATACATGCCAATTATATACATGTATGTGAATAAATATATATATATATATATATATATATATATATACACACATAAAATTTTATGATTAACTTTTGAATATATAATTAACTTGTGATTATTATTATTTTTTTTCTAACATATGATTCTCTAAAAATCACCAATATAAGTTATCTTAAAAATAAAATTACAAAATACTATAAAATTATTTTTAAAAATTTAATTAAAATTATATATATATATATATATATATATATATGTGTGTGTGTGTGTGTGTGTGTGTACAAATTTCTTTTAAGTCACAATATGTTTTGAGAGTTTCTTCAAAAATGTAAAATTCATTCATTGTAAAATATAACACATAAAACTTTCTTTAATTTTTTATGTGAGAGTTTCTTTAAAATGTTTACACTTGATAATGTTTAGTTTCAATTTGATATTATTATTTGATACATATTTGTTTCCTGGGCCTACAATGTGATTTGATTTGATTTGATTTTTTGTAGTTATATTTATTATTTTCTTTAGAATTTTTATGCAATACAATTGAATAATCTGGTTCAATTATTCTCTTGCTCACCCTCTCACTCTTTCTCTCCATATCCACACATAGAAAAATATTACTTCGAAGGAATATTAATTTTAGAGCTGGTGGTCCATGTTTGTATACAACCTAGTCATCAAAGATGTATACAAATCAATCATCAATATGTTAAAATAATACCAAATTATGCAAAGCCCAAATGTTCGATACACAGACTACATTTTTTACTGTATAAAATTAATTCCATTTCAATAAGTTAACGGTTAAGTATTCCATAAAGGTACATAAAGCCACATTATTTCCGAAAAATTGAAGAATATTAAAAAACAAAATACAAAAATAGTCAAAATCAGATGGATGGATGGATGGCTGAATAGATGTATGGCTGAATAGATGTATGGCTGAATAGATATACGGATGAATAGATGGTTTGTGGAAGATTTAACCTATGAATTCATCCATCCAACGTCGGTTCCACAAATCTAGAGCAATACGAATGAATGGAGCAGTGCGCGGAGACCAGGGGGAACACGTCCCCTTACCATATGGACATTATCTGCTTCCCCTGTCGAGCCTTTCGTTACTACAGGTGGTTACTGGAGTCTGTGCATATTCGATTGCAAGCTATGGCGCACATCGTCCCGGCGCCGGCTCTCCGCACCTCCGTCACACGTCTGGAGCTTCGCGCTCGTAGCAACAGCACGCAAGACTCAACTGCGCAGGTGAGGAGCCTCCCAACGAACCAGGTATCGCGAATTGTTTCCCAGAATTTGCTTAGCTCTGCGGCTGAGTTTAGAGCGTTCGTGAGTAGCAGAGGGAGTGTTGGTGATGGAGTGAGACGCTCCAGAGGGGCCGGAGTGTTTGAAGTTCGCGCAAAGATTGAGGTAGACCCGAAGCTCGGTGTGTCGGTGTATAAACCCGCATCTTACGAGACTTTGGTTGCTGACGCTGCGAAGTCACTCAGCTATGGCCTGGAAGATGGTTTGAAACGGCTTGAAATTGACTTTCCGCCGCTGCCGAGTTCGGTGTCTGGATACAAGGGCGCGTCGGATGAGTTTATTAATGCTAATATTCAGCTCGCTCTGGCGCTCGCGCGCAAAGTCCATGAACTCCGTGGAATTTCCTGTCGCCTAGTTTTTCCTGACAAACCGGAGAAGCGGAAGGCGGTGAGGTCTTTTGGATCGGCCATTGAGATGACAGGCTGTGTCTCTGTGGGATGCCTTGACGACGTGCCCGGTGGCGCGGGAAAATCCCTCTGGGGAAGCGTCCGGAATGCTTTTGATTTTGATTTTGGCGAAGATGTTGAAGGAAAGTTTGAGTCGTCCCAGGAGCCCGGATTGTGCATAGTTTTGAATTGCAGCACGGCGGAGCTTCCGGCCGTTGAGGAGTACGTGAATTGCTTCTGCAAAGATACTCCCGTTGTGCTTTTCAACCTTGAGACCGACACCCTGCGTGCCGACCTTGGATTACTTGGATTCCCTCCCAAAGATTTGCATTATCGCTTCCTGGCGCAGTTCCTACCTGTATTCTATGTTCGGATCCGAGATTACTCAAAGAGTGTCAATGTAGCACCATTCATCCTAAATTACAGTGGAGCATTGCTTCGAATGTATCCCGGACCATGGCAGGTAATGCTTAAGCAAACAGATGGATCGTATGCCTGCGTGGCTGAGGCGCCAGAAAGGTTCACTCTTGGACAAACAAAAGAGGAATTGCTAATCTCGTTAGGATTACAGGAAGTAGCTGGCAGCACCATGGAGTTCCTGCGTAGAGGATACAAGACAGCGACGTGGTGGGAAGAAGACACGGAAGAGGAAGAATCCGCTGCGTGGAGGTCTTAATAATTTTCTGCACCAGCTCGTCGATTTTGCACCGATGCAAGCTTAGCGTTCTGAGCCTTATTCAGTAGGTGTTGAGTGTCGCTGTATTATAGGTAGCCGCTCGTAGTGAATAGATTGTTTGAATGGCTTACGAAGTGGAAGTGATCTGCAGAGTATTATCGATTTAATCTACAAAAATATTTAACTATCATCATTTTCATGATGTAAACTTGGTAAACGAGAGTAGGAGACATGATGTTTCACGTTGTACTGTACCCTTCAAGAAATGAGAAAAGAGAGATTGCACCTCGGCACTTTGTAGATTATTTCCACATTTATATGGAAAGCTTTAAGTCTTGAGCTTAGCAATGGACGAGAAGAAAAGTAGTAATGCTGTCTCTCACCAAAGGTTCAAGCCTGTTGTGTCTTTAGGAACAAGTCGAGGCAATTACTACTAGTTATCACGCAACACTGGCATAGATTGCCGTCGAATCCGTCTAGTAAATTACTACTGTACTATCAAAATAATTGATTCTACTTAGTAAGATTTGAATAACAACTATATTGAAGGGGTTATGCAAAGTTCCGATGAACAGTAAACAGCCACGTTCATTGCACATACTGTTTGCACTACGTAAAGTTTGTGCGTGAATATGAGAACCGGAGACCAGTGATTGCTACCCTAAACCAGACAGAAGTTGAAATTGTGAATTCTGCTACAGTGTCATTCTCTACTTTCAAACAATTTTTGTGTGCTTAAAAGAAATTAGTAGAATTTGGAATGCTATGGAATGACGTGACCTTACGGGAAAGTATTGGATTCAAATCTTTGTTGAGATCTGATAAACAAACATTTTAAAATATATAAAGTAATTACCCCAAGGGTGATGAGAATAGTTAAAGAAAAGAAAGTATTCTCATGAAAAATCCAATATCTCAAAACAATACAAAAAGATTTGATAAATTAATGGATGTTTTGATTACAAGATTGACAAAAAATTTGGTAAGTATACTCTACATTTTCTACCTGGTCAAGATACATATGAATATCGTGTTGTCAATGGAACAGAATTCTTCGACAATTTGGTTGTTCAGCCTCACAAATCTTACCAATGGGAAACTCGCCTTACAAGTTAAGATACGTGTCTTGCAAAGTTAACACATTTTTTAGGTCCTATAAGACATTGCCATATAGCTCCTAGTTAAGAGTATATATAGAGGCAAGAATGAAACCTTCTTTACTCTTATTAATGTCTTTTTAGTCTTTAGTCTTGTTTCAAGACTTTCTAGTCTTCTTATCTTTGACAATAGCTATTTGAGTTTAATATCATATCATCTTTGAGTGACTTTTCAATTCTTTTGAGTGCTACAAGAGTGTATTAAGGATTTATTTTTTTGAGATTCATATCTTTGACACAAATTATATCATATGTTTCATACATAGATCTATACAATTCTATCAAAAAAACTTCCAAATGGTTTAATATTAGATCACATTGTTTAAAAAAAGATGAAAATCATAATAATGTTGAACTAAAAAATAATATTTTAATAAAATTAACTTGTAATCTCAAAGTTGAATAGCTTTGAGATTGAAGTTCAATTACCAATTGTATTTGATTGATGAATCCTCAAAACTTTGATCTTGTACCATCAAACTTCTCAGATAAGATAATTCTTGATTTTTTAATACTTGAATGGTGTTCCACTATAGGAGAAGGGACAAAATTTTGTGCAAGTGTTGAAATGGCTCCAATCATTTCTATATCTCTACTTTTTGTCATTCTTGTTCTTTTTTATAGTGGTAAATTAAGTCAATGCATTGCAAGTATTAACTTTTTCAATTATCATTGCACTTGTGCCATTGCATCTTTCATTTTGATATGCTCTACCATAATACTACTAAGAAGAAAAGAGATATCTAATATTACTTAAGACAAGTAAAAAAAAGAACTTAAAAATAGAGAAATATTTAAAAAAATATCAATTTAAAAGACAATAATCTACAACTTCTAATATGCTTATGTCGTATTAAGAAAAAGAAGTAATCCACTTTTAAATAAGAAAGAATAAAGCTTTGATATTATAAGTATATTTTTGTCAATTTTTTAAAAATAAGAATTTGATGAAAATAAATAAATAAATGAAACTTTTTCAAAGAAGTATGATAAAATAGAAATAAGGATATATATATATATATATATTAAAAAGAAATTGAAATGACTATTGCCAAAAGACAACCAAACTAAAGACTTTTGAAACTACACTAGAAACAAGAAAGGAATTGATAAGAATAAAAAAGGCTTCATTCTTGCTTATATACATACTATCTACCTAAGAGCTATGTGGCAATATTCTATAGGACTTCCAAAATATATTGACTCTACACAACATGTATCTTAACTTGCAAGGCAAGCTTTTTATATGGATGCCATATAATTTGCTTGTTTTGCAAGCTATCAACATGTATAGCACATAATTAATTTGTTGACCAAGTTTTTAACCTACTAATCAACTAAAAATATATATAAATTCAAAAAAATATCTATAAAGCTTCTAAGAAGTTTTTTTAGAAGATATTATGAATTTAATCTATTTTTACCTACTTTTATCTATTCATATTACTTTTATTTTTTTAGAAATATCCTTGAAAAAGTCATTAGATTATTATTAAGTATATTATACAATATCTCAAATAAATCCAAAGCTATTGTTTATATTACAAAGCTCAATTTGCAATGCCATGATTGATTAGTTATGTAGGTGTAAATTTTAATAGCAATCTGAATGACAAAAAAAATTGCACTAATTTTAATTATATACTTAATTCTACTGCAATGGCTTGAGGTAGTCACAAACAAGTTGTATGACAACATCAACCATTATTGTTGAACTTATGACACTTACTAAATCAACCAAAGAGACTATATGACTTTGTTGACTTTTGTATTTTCTTGATGCAGCTTAAGAACTTTCCATTGTTGTGTTTTGTAACAATCAAGCTATCATTGCTTTAGTTGTAAATCTAAAAAATCATCATTAAATAAAACATATTAATATAGAGTATTTTGTAATTTAAGAATACATCACAAACAAATATATTTACGCTAATAGTTATTTGGATAATATGAATAAGTAGAAGTAAGTAAAAGTAGGCAAATTTGATAATATCTTATAGAAAAGCTTCCTAAAAGCTTCATAGATGTAATTCATCTTTGTACGTGTTTAAAGGTGTTTAATAGATGTGAGCTAAAATAAACCTTTATTAATTAGAAGTTTATTCTAATTCATAACAAGTGAATTAACTATGTGAATTTTAGAAGTTATAGTTTTTAATTAAATTCTAATCAAATCACTCTTCATTTATTTTTTTAATAAATCCAATTAATTAGCCAAAATTCTATTACCAACTCACACTTATAATTAATAAGTCACTTGATAAATTCCATGCAAACAAAAAATCCTTATTAATATAATATATTGTAATTTTTATTTTATTTATTATCTTATTTTTATTTTTATTTAATTCAAATTCATCTATTGACAAAAATTCATCCTTGAATAACAATTCATTATTGAATAACATTTCATCTAATACTTCATCCATGTTTTAAAATTCATTCTTGATTGCAAATTTCATCCAGATTGTTTCATCCAAATTCAATTTTATCCTAATTAAATTTTATCCTAATTAATTTCTTCTTAACCTAGAATCCTTTAACAAACTTGAAATCACCTTGCCGCCTTTCGATTGGTAATGACCGATTCGATCCTTGCCCTCACAGCGCTCCCTCTTCTTCAGCCGCTGTTGCTGGCTACTATTACTTCTTGTTGGATTACCGCTATTCTGATACACATGGATGTGCCCTTTGACTTTACTAGTGAATCTACGATGCCCAGATATTTGTACACAGAAGGGAATTAGCTAGCAGTCTAAAACATTGGATGGCAGTACTTCTCTTACCTAGATCTATACCCTTTCCAACGGTTACGATCTTGTATTGAGGATACTAACTCGTACTCAACAACTCAGTAAATAATTTGAGCATGGGCAAACTGAATCAATAGTTGCTTGGACACCAACCATGAATCTTCTTGCAATTCTATAGTCGCATGTGTTTTGAACGACAGGACGCACACTTTGTTACGCTGCGATACAACTTTTTTCAACTCGCTCTTGATGCACTTCGTTTGTCTTTGTTCAGAATCCTTGCATTGTTATCAAGGGAGCTCATTAATTGGAGCTCAAGCACAATTCTGTGGCCTTTGATTTTTTTACTAGAAGAGGTACGACATGATCACTTATACAGAGAATCTGTAAACGATAACAAGCAAGGCTGTGTCGTTATAGATAATGACTCGTTACTACCTCAATCGTTCAAACAAGGTGACCGTCGGGCCCAAATGCACAATCAGACATCCACAAGAATCCCATAGAACCACAAGAAGAATTCCTTGATCACACTAGGTTCTGGAACTCTACACTAATCACAAAAAGAATAAGGAGCTCCATTGCAGCACTTCAACTGAATAAAGAGCAACAAAAAATGATCGCCGCCATTGTGATCTAAGTAAGAACAATCAACCAGCACCGCAATGGTTTGCAACAAAAAATAAGAGCACAAATGGATTACATGAAGAATTTAGACACCGCAACGACTCTGCCTTCGGAACTCCTTTGCTGCACTAGCGATGCGGTCCACTCTGCCCCTTTGGAGCTCAAAATCAGCACACAAATAAAAATAAAAATAAATGTAAAGTGGGCTTCAAGGAGCAATGGCATCATTGCTAGGACTATTCTAGTGCCACCGTGACTCCAACACAATACACCCTTATTGATTTCCAAGCTTGCTCTAGTTATTTGCATTCCACCTTTTAATCTTCACCGTAGCACCGCCACAGCAACACTGTATTGTAAAAATAACATACGCAGAGAAAAATTTCGTTGCCGTCCATGCTTCCTTGCTCACCAACAAGCTGCTGCACCGCAGCGCTTCAATGGCACCATATAATCATACACAGAAGAAAAATAAATAAGAGAGTACTGCTGCACTATAGCACTCCCATACAGAAGGACATAGAGCAAAACTACATCGAACGCATGTAATGCCAAAGAGGAGGGAAATTGCCTTCGCACCACAAGTAAAACCACGCTGTCATAGGAACTAGGAAGAAGAACAATACCGCCACCGGCGGAATAAGAAGCAATTGAGCAAAAAAAAAAAAAACAAAAAAAAAAAAAAAAAAACAGAGCCGAGAGGATCACCGCACAGCAGCCTACTGCAATAGACTGCTCCAAAATTGCTCCAGCCACACAGCCATAGTACCAAGGAA